CTTGAGGCTGCTGTCAGACCTTGCGAATCCGCGGATTCACTATCGATTGCTGCATTTCGAGGACTACAAGCGATGCGCCAAGAGTTAAAACGATGCACCAGCGAATTTAGTTGTTACTCACTGGCGCATCGCTCGTACCCCTTGAACGGCGAAGAATTGCTAACGAAAAGGCCAAGAATTGCGAATCCGTGGATCAGCTAGCGAATCCACTGATTTGATAAGTCTAACATTGGCTCAAGGGCGGAAGTGGTGTAGTGGCAAGTGGCACGCTTACCACGCGAGCGGTCCGGGGATCAAATCCTGGGTCGTGAGTCGCCCGGGCCAACCAAGCCTTCCATCCCTCCGGGGTCGGTTAATTGGTACCAGACTTGTCTGGGAGGATAAAAAACACTGACTTGTACATCGGCTGGCCCCCGCAAGTCATTGTATAGGCCACATCGCATTCAAACGCCACTACGAATGTACAAATGGAAGTAGAATGCGTGCCGCATCCCAAAAAGGGATTGATCAACGGCAAATGTAGAATGCGTGCCGCATCCCAAAAAGGGATTGATCAAAGGCAAATGCTTTATCCTTTGACACCGGCTCAAGTAGGAGTGCGCTCTTGGAGAAGATGCACACTTTTAGGTCACTACGCCATCAGTGGATGCTAGGTAGGCGTGGGTCTATTTTAGTAGAACATTTTTGAGAATTTGCTGCTAATATGCTTGCTTTCTTTGACTTATATTCTTGAAATGTATTCTAGTTATGTAATGACGCTAGGTTTTTTAATCAAGAAGAGAACTCTGTCGCATGCTTTCGTTTCTCCATGATCGTACAATTGATCGCCTTCCAGCGATCGCTGCTTGTTTTTCCAGTGTCCAACTAAAGAGTGCTAGCCTGCGTGTGTTTTCATCATCGCTCAACGCTATGGTGGATAGACTCGGTAAGTATGTTTTTGTCACCGCACCGAACACACAGTTCTGCTAACCCCATTTTTTTATTTGGGTTCGAGTTCCTTTTCTAGTCAAAAGTGTTTCCTTATTCATTCAAAAGCAGATATTACATACGATGTGATGATTTTTTAGTAAACAGTGAAGTGAACGCACGACGAGTTGCTAATGTGGAGCAATGTTTTGGAAAAATGGCCAAACCATTAAGTTTATTTGGGCGAGTGCTTGTTGGTGAGGGAGTGCTGGTGAAAATGTGTAGGTAAGAGAATCATTTTGAATGTTGACTGTATTCGCAGAAGTTGCATTTTTTTATCAGTTGAACCTGAGCTCTGTAGTAAAGGCGGAGTTTTGGATGGAAAAGCCAGCCCATAATAAGTCAAGGAGAGGAGGCAAGCGATGCAGGGATCCATTTTATACTGCAGTTGGTGGGAAACGTCCTGAAGTCGGCTCGCGGCGATCGGCAGATCTCATTTGAAAAAACGTAGTTTGGGGCCATATCCTATCCTTCCCCCAGGCTATGGGAACAAGTGTGTCCTTCAAAGTTGTTTCCAACGACGCAGTTCCCTTATTTTCCGCACACGCTTACTTTACACACAAATGTACATTAGAATTAATGTCATTTCAACGTTCATGGGAGCAAGACACAACAGAAAGGGATTTCAAAGGTTATGTTGTTCATCTGCTGCCGAAAAGGAATGATACCCCATGTCGTAGAGCCTAGCCAGAAGGTTTTCGATGCTTTAGAGAGGATTATTTGCTTTGTATTCAAATGATGTTTTTAACTTTTTCACTGAATGCTAGAGGTGGCAATAAATCAAGAAATTAGTAAAGCTTATGAGAGGCACTCACCTAAAGCAGCTTTTATTCAGGAAGAAACCGAAACAGCGCCAGTTTTTCTTGTTTAACGATATACTGGTATACGGAAATATTGTGATCTCGAAAAAGCGATATAACAAGCAACGGATTATTCCACTGGAGAACGTGGAGCTAGAAGATCTTCCCGATGAAGGAGGTTAGTGCGATTGGTCTTTAGAACCAGATTTATAAAAGACAAGATTGGCCCCCGGCAAGCGCCGAAATACCCTTTTCATGCGTAAGCTTTGCGTTCCTCCTCTTACTTATCCTCCCCCACGCCTCATTGCCCGCCATGACGAAAAGTGTGCTAGTGGGTGTTATAATACCTCTTGGGATGTATCTTAAGACGACGAAGTTCTCGGTCAAGCGATTGCGCAATCGCTTGCAAAGTGCACAAGCGACGGGCAATGGCTCTGCTCGATCGATACCGCAGCCGACCGCATTGACTGGGGGCGGGGCCAATCGCCCGTCGCTTGTGTAGGCCGATGTCATAGTTTGCGAATCGAGCGATTCGCTAGCGAATCGCTCGATCCGAGCGTTGCGCCAGCGAATCGAACGTTGCACCAGCGAATCGAACTTTGCGCCAGCGAGTCGAACGATGTACCAGCGAGTCGAACTATGTACCAGCGAGTCGAACTAGGTACCAGCGACTCAATAGTGGCGGGACCCAACGTTTAAAGGAAGCCGCCCTTCTCAACCAGTGTCCACTGCCAAAGTCCCGCCACTTTCAAACAGCGTCCACTGTCACGTGACACTGTTTGAAAGTGGCGGGCTTCCTTTAAACGTTGGGTCCCGCCACTATTGAGTCGCTGGTACCTAGTTCGACTCGCTGGTACATCGTTCGACTCGCTGGCGCAAAGTTCGATTCGCTGGTGCAACGTTCGATTCGCTGGCGCAACGCTCGGATCCAGCGATTCGCTAGCGAATCGCTCGATTCGCAAACTATGACATCGGCCGCATTGCGCAATCGCTTGCCAATCGCTCGACCGAGAGCGATTGGCAAGCGACGGACAAGCGATGGAGCGATCGCGATCGCTCCATCGCTTGTTCCGTCGCCGACTATGACGTCGGTCTAATCATTCCATTGCAAAACATTGATAAGGCAAGCTCTGCGAGCTAACCGGATTAGTTAGCGGCTTGGTTGTTCCATTAGCTGTCTTGCCAGAGTTTTTAATAATAAGGTTATTTATTAACTCATTTCATTTTGCGGACGGACGGACTGACAAGCTTACCCACAAACAAGCCGCCAATCAAGGTTGTGGTTTATATAATGAAGTGATATTCAGGGTAGATATGCCTGCATAATGAACTTCCTGATTTGTAGTCGGTTTTTTCTCAACACGCTGGCTCTCAAATTTTTTCATGATATTTTTTCTTGACTGTCGTTATGTATCCTTGTACATATGTACGGTGACGTGTGCATCAGAGACCTCTATCTGTTGCTCTCGTTCAGTCTACCGTAGTGCTTCCCATGGGATTGTATATAAACGCTGTGCTTTGAACGCAAAAGCGCATCTAATTTAGTAACACTCACACTTCTATGCCTTTTATCAGTTCTTAGTTCCTATCACCCTCTTTCATTCACCATCTGGATCCCCGCCTCCTAGCATAAAAGACTAGTGCAAGCATTTTACTGTTGGCACGAATGCCGTAAAAAGTTGGTGTCTACCTCTGTTTGATGTCCGCTATCTGCTCCTATCGGCAGTCATATTTTCGCCGCCCACCACCGATGTCATCGTCTTGTTCCTCAGATACCCTATGAACTTTAGCGCTCTGCGACCAATGCGAGCGAATGTATGAATTACCTGTTAGACAGACAGACACGCAATCGCTCAGCTGCTGTATGCATGTAGAAAGAACGAGAGTGTGGATGCGCGCGAATAGAAGTTATCGACATTAACGAAATATAATATTATTAAAACTCTCTATCCATTTTTAAGATATTTGCGTTGAGGAAACTGAATGCGTTCAATCACATGCGTGCGATAACTTGTGCATACCCTTACATTGAATCTT